ATCAGTAAGTGATGTATCTTGGTATCTTAAAACACCTTGTTGTGTAAGATCAGTATGTTGGGGCTGAGAGGAAATGGCCTGTCCTTACTGTCCCAGTGAGACAGCATTGTCATCCAACAATGCCTTAGGGGAGGATGTTGGAGCAACAACATACTCCAGGATGCCAGACCTGGACTCACCACATAGCTGCAAGAATAGGGTTGCTTTCTGCTCCAGTTTAAAGTCTGGATTATTTCAACCCAGGTACACAATCACTTTGTCTCTAGGTGTCTTTGCTGATCATGTGTTAACAAACGTAAGCAATGTTTCTAGGGCTACCTACAGGCAATGTTGGGTGGCCAGGAGCAGAGCTGGGCACTGGATGATGAGTAAGTGGATCACGTAGGTCTGGCAGGAGGTGAGTTAGGAGAAGCTGCTCCTGCCCCCACTACCAACTTCTCTGGGCTCCAGCTGGATCCCTGCAGCAGCAGAGGACCACACAGCCTGAGAAGATGCCACACTTTGAGCTGAGAAGCCAGAAAACCACCCTCAGACTGTCATCACCAGAGTGGTATCTGATACACATACTTTTGACAAAATATTTTTTTTTTCAAATAAAATCAAGGTGAAATGCATCTGGATACCTTTGTCTGCATTTAGTTTCAAAGTGGATGCAAATTTTTTCTACATTGTGGTTAAACTAGTTTATCCTCTCAAATGACTACTCTTTTTCAATTAAATGAGTCCACTTTACCTCTTCATCTGAAGTTTGGTTGTGATGCCTGCCAGCTCTGGGCACTTTCATTTTCAAAACAAAAACTTTTTGTAAACCAGCCTTACACAATCCAAGAGCATAGATACCATGCTGAAAAGAGAGGAGAGGATGCCATTTTCTTAGCAATGACAAGAAGTTGGCTTTTTCATGTGAATTAGCAGCTTAAGATAAAAATACTAAGGCAGAGAAGATTTACCAAATCTTAAAAAGCACAGCCTGTGTGCCTTTTCACTATTTTACCCTGTGTTAGCCAACATGAAGTAAAACCACAGCTTATTTTTTTCCTCATGAATGCAAAACTCAAGGAATTTATGTTTATTCCAGGGAAGATCTCTAGGAAATGTGTCTGTGAACTAACCTTGGGTGTGACCCCTCCATTCAGAATTCATCATATGTTTTCTATTAAGACAAAACCCTCTTGACACTGTAATTCTTTCTTCTTCCACTCTGAATCCACAGCTTGTGACTGAAACCACTTCCCACACCTTGCAGAAGGTGCGTAACTCCGGCTTTCCCACACGTTCCCCAGGCAAAGTCATTTTGGGCTCTCCAGGCAAAAATTTGCAGCACAATTCAGAACAAGCAAGAAATAAATAGCCAAAAGAACACTGTACTCATAGTACTGTTTATCATCAGAGTTAGCACAGTAAAAATCTTGGCTTTCAGTTTATTCAAATTTAACACAGAGAGCAGGCAGGCACTGTAAGGAGAGGGAATATCCTCCACTTTTCTAAAACACTATTTCTTGAACAACAAACCTTTTTTTGCTCATATTTAATTCCTGTTTGGTAGCCAAAATTTTGTAAGGACTGCGTAAGATCAGTCTCTTAAAAACATGCCTCACTTCACCTTTCTAAGCACCGATGGGGGCACATGTAGGCACACTGGGCCACATGCAGAGGACATGTATTCCTGCATGAAGCGTTTCCTGCTGCTTCAGACCTCTGCAGGCACCTCACCAGCTTCCTGCCAGGACATCTCGGTGCTTCCACTGCCATTCTCATGCCTCAGGTCACTCAGAATAACACACCTCCCGAGCTAGAGTACTGGGAAACCCAGGGTAGATGCAGACCCACAAAAACAGACTCCATCCAAGGAGAAAAGCATTAAGCTCTTTAGTGAATCCTGTTTTACCTGGTTTTTTTTCCCACTTTCTGGGGTAGCCCAGCCTCCTATTGACCTAGATAATGGGAAGATGATTATTCATTTGAATTTCAAAAGAAGGAGTAGTGGGCTGTTAGCTCTAACTGCTGCACTCTAATAAGAATATAGATGCACACATACAATTATTGAACTGCTTTTAGAACATAAAATTATTTAATTTTAACAGCAATATCTACTTATTCATGTACGTGTTTAATCAGATTTCTAAAATCCTCGAGATTTTTTTTTGTTGTTTTATAGAGTGTGGCTATTATTTGTCAGTCTGTTTTCAGCTTCATTATCTTCCTAGCACTACCCTTAAAATACAACAAAAACCAACCAAAACATAACATGAATAAGCATGAGAAAACAGTAATGCTGTTTATATTTAACAGATCACTTTTGAGGAAAATTTGAAATGCTGCCAAGACACTCCGAAAATGAGATATAACACAAAAATAGAAAAATGGAATTTATGAAAATTATGTGATGCCCATAGTATTAATACACATCTTCACAGGGACACACGTGAAGGAGTGGAAATATCCTGAAGTCTGGTGTAATGACATGGATTCAAATGACACCAAAGCTTTATTAAAAATTATCTCGCCTGATCTTAATGTGTTAAATGTCAGATTCTGTCACCCTGGCATATTGAGTCCCAGTCTTATCAATCTTGATTATATGCCTTCCATTGCAATTGAGTGAAAATTTTCCAAAATAGTTTATGGCTTTTGTAAAATGATTTGAAAAAAAATAGCAGTACTTTGTGAAAATTTATTGATTTTATTCACTTCACAGGAAATAAAGATTCAATTTTCATTTCATCAGCTTGAATTTTATGCAACTATATGACAAAATGAAATCTCCCATAAATGCCAACAACAAATTAAAACATTTTGACACTTCTCATTTTGCAAAGTTACACTATTATTTCTATCTGGGTTTAAAATGCACGTAAAAACTGCAGAATTTCTCATTAGGTATCTGAATACTGGTACTTACAGAGGAGTACTGTAAGTATTAGTAAGAAATAGGTTTAGGTGAGCATTGGTATTCTGCTGTCAACCTGGTAAAGGTCCCAGCAGTATCAAAGCTGCCACCCCAAGGCAGTCAGGCACCTACACACTCCCGGGATTCCTATCCACATCATCGTTACAAGAAACATCCTCTCAATTTTTACAAAATCCTGCTTACCCAGAAGGCTCTACAGTGTGCCCAGTCTGAGGGAATGGAGATTCCTCCTCGCCCAGATGAAGCAGGAAGTGCCACACTCACAGTCCTCTCGGAAGGAATGCCCTGTCCTGCCAACAGCCCTCCCCGGAGAGACCACAGCTGACCGCAGCTGCGACAGGAACTCGGGCACTCCCTCCCAGAGGTACTGCACCCTCTTCTCATGTGGTTTCTCTAAATTTTAACATTTTATGACAGGTTGAGAAGCCTACCAGTCAAATTTTCCATTTTATCCCCTGTGTCTTAAAGGATAGACATTATTATGGAGCTAGATTGCACCACGAAGTGCAGTCAGAGGGACAGAGAAAGGTGGCAACAAGCCTCAGAGCAGAAATCACGGCTGGGCGCAGTCATGGAGAGGCAGAGCACTATTTTTCAAAACCCATCTTTACAATGAAGTAACTGAACCTTCTTCGGCTATGCCCTTTTCCTTCCCCCTACTCTGTACACCCAGCTGGGGTCAGGCAAGGAAGGTGACATAACACCATGTATCTGTCTCAAATGTATTCTTCAAACTCCATCTGACTCCTGACAAGTGCAGCTGAGACCTGGCAGCCCTAACCTATCCCCACAGCTAAAAGAGGTGTGCGATGCTTTCGGTTTTTTGGTTTTGTTCCTGTAACAGCACTGGCCTCTCTGCAGCCCTATGATATCAGAGTCACATCATGCAAACACAGTAATTTTGCTGTAGTCTGAGGGAAATGAACCATCGGGACAATCAGAGGATGATGTAGCAGGGTACGTACTGCCCCATTAGCACCAGTTCATAGATGTGCCCGGCAGAAGAGAGGCTGTGCTCATTCCTCTCACTGCCATTATGTCCGTATACAGACAGCAACCATCACAAAACTTATTAAACTTTCCCTTTTCTAATAACTGCAAAGGTAGCTGGAAAAGCACAAATTAATGCATAAAACAGTATGTGAACTCATTTCCAACATACTTTTTGCAATTAAAATGACCACAGGTGAGTAGCACGCTGTCAACCTTTGGATTTTAGACATTCTGTGATAAAATCAAACAGGGGATTATCCGGATAGGTGTATCCCCTACAGCGTCCTGAATAACTTGGCGCTTCCGAGAAAACAAGCACACAAACAAACAAACAAACAGAAAAATCATCACTGTTTGATGCTTTCTGTATATTTTCACGCTGTACTTTGGGGAAGGTGCCTTTATCCTCTGCCTACACCACGCGGTGAGTGCCTCCAGGTGGGTGCAACGATCCTCACGTCCCTCCCGCGGACAGCCCGGGCCTCCCCGGGGGACAAGGGGACCTCCCCCATCCCGGTCACCGCCGACCAGCAGGCCGCAGCCACCGAGGCACCGTCCGCATCCGCAGGGAACCGGGAGCGCCCCAGGCTCTACCCTGCGTTCCCCCAGCCCCGTTCTTTACCGACCAGACACCGAAACAAGCCCTGGGAGGACAGGGAACCGAGGCGCCCCCGGGGCTCAGGGGAGCAGCCCCGCCGCGGAGGAGCAGGAGCCATGTGCGGAGCGCGGAGGACGCCATGCCCGCCGAGATCCGCCCGCACCCTGCGGCGGGGCGGCTCCGCTCCCGGAGGTGCCGCCGCGGGAGCTGCGGCGGCTGCGGAGCGCCAGCGCCCCCTGCCGCCCGCCCCGAGCCACGCGGGGCTCCGCGGCCTCCGGAGGAAACGAGACACGGGGGAGCCGCCGCCGCCGCACCGCACTGCTACGCGCCCGGCGGCGGGGGCCAGCGGACGAAGCCCCCCCACGGCAGCACTGCCGACCCCCGGGCGGAGGGCCGGGCCGGGCCCGGCGGGACCGGGTCCGCCGAGAGCCGCGGAGCGCCGGCGGCGGCGACGCCTCCTCCCCGCGCGGGGGTGTGTCAGCGGCCGGCGAGGGGGGGCGTGGCGGCGGGCGGCGCCGAGCGGCGCCATTGGCCGGCGGCGGCAGTGATGTCACCCATATGAGGCGCTGATAACGCGCGAGGCGCGGAGCCGGGAGTTTCGCAGAACGGGCAGCGCGCGCAGGGCGGGCGGCGGCGCGAGGCCGGGGACGGGCACAGCGCGCGCCCAGCGCACCAGCCCAGCCGCGCCCGACCCGGCCCCACCGCCGGCGCTGCGGTGCGGGCGGCACAGCCACAGCGCCCGCCCGGCCCCCGCGCTCCGCCTCGCTGCGCGGCGCGCTGAGGAGCTCAGCAGGGGCAAGGTGCGGCGGTGGGAGGGGGCGGCGGCGGAGCGGCTTTGTTGGCTCGGAGGGGAGCGGCGCCTCGGCGAGAGCCCACCATGGTGCAGCAGGCGGAGAGTGCGGAGGCGGAGAGCAACCTGCCCCGGGAAGCGATGGACACCGAAGAGGGCGAGTTCATGGCTTGCAGCCCCGTCGCTTTAGACGAGAGCGATCCGGACTGGTGCAAAACGGCGTCGGGGCACATAAAGAGACCGATGAATGCGTTCATGGTGTGGTCCAAGATCGAGAGGAGAAAAATCATGGAGCAGTCCCCGGACATGCACAACGCGGAGATCTCCAAGCGCCTGGGCAAGCGGTGGAAAATGCTGAAGGACAGCGAGAAGATCCCTTTCATCCGGGAGGCGGAGAGGCTGCGGCTCAAGCACATGGCTGATTACCCCGACTACAAGTACCGTCCCAGGAAAAAGCCCAAAATGGACCCGTCGGCCAAGCCCAACGCCAGCCAAAGTCCCGAGAAAAATGCGCCCGCCAGCAGCGGCGGCAGCAAGAGCGCCAAGAGCTCCAGCAAGAAGTGCAGCAAGCTGAAAGCCTCCTCCGGCTCCTCGCCTCCCAAGCCGGGAGCCAAAACCGCCCACCACGGGGACTACGCGGGAGACGAGTACGTCTTCGGCACCCTGAAAGTGAGCAGTAAGACGGTCAAGTGCGTCTTCATGGACGAGGAGGAGGATGAGGAGGACGACGAGGACGAGCTGCAGCTGCGGATCAAGCAGGAGGCGGAGGACGAGGACGAGGATGAGGAGCCGGGGCCGCAGCAGCTGCGGCGGTACAACGTGGCCAAAGTGCCGGCCAGCCCCACCTTGAGCTCCTCGGCGGAGTCCACCGAGGGGGCCAGCCTGTACGAGGAGGTGCGGGGCGGCGCCGCGGCGGCGGGCGGCGGCAGCAGACTCTACTACAGCTTCAAGAACATCACCAAGCAGGGCCCGCCGCCGCAGCAGCAGCCGCCCGGCCTCTCCCCGGCCTCCTCCCGGTCCATCTCCACCTCGTCGGCCGGCAGCGAGGAGGCGGACGACCTGCTCTTCGACCTCAGCCTCAACTTCTCCCAGCACGGCCACGCCGCCGCCGAGCTGGGGGCGGGCGCCGCCGGCGGCAACCTCTCTCTCTCGCTGGTGGACAAGGACCTGGACTCCTTCAGCGAGGGCAGCCTTGGCTCCCACTTCGAATTCCCCGACTACTGTACCCCGGAGCTGAGCGAGATGATCGCGGGCGACTGGCTGGAAGCGAACTTCTCCGACCTGGTGTTCACGTACTGAGCGGGGGCGGCGGCCAGGGCGGGCGGCGAGAGCGGCGGAGCTGGAGCGGCGCGACGCCGGCGGTGATGATGATCATGATAATGATTAAAAAAAAAAAAGTCTTGTTTTCTTTAAAAAAAAATCTCGAAGCTAGTTCCGAGCCCGGGAGTTGTGATTTTATTTTTTTTCATTTTTTTTGTGTTTTTTTAATTTTTATTATGTTTGGTGATCACAACAACAACAGCAAAGGCAAATGGGACTGGGGGAAAAATGATACAGAAGGCGCTGTTTGAAGCTTGTCGGTCTCTGATTGAAGTCTGGAAGATGGTCTGCAAAGAAGTCTTTTGGCAGCACAACTGTTACTCAAGGGGGTTTGTGGATTTTTTTTTTTTTTCCGTGAGAGATCTTAACGAACTGTTATGATTTTTTATTTTTTTTTCCGAAAGGGACCATTACAACTTTTTTGGAGGGAGAAAACTGATGTCTTCTATGCATCCGATACTTAACAAAGCTGCAGGGAGCTTGAAAAAATGCAGACTGTACAAACGCTTACAAATAACTGAACTGACTTAAGATCAGAGTTTACTTTTCAGATCAAATTGTTTATGGTTTTACAAATGTGATTTCTACTTGCCAACTTTTTTTTTTTTGTAACTTGTTCCCTTATACCTCCTTGATTGAATACCAGACAGCCTAGACCTCAGTACAAAAAGGTATTGAAACATTTTTGATACATAACAGACCTCAGTCTTTTTTAAAAATTAATATATTTTCAGGCGTATTTTTGTACAGTGAAAAGGGAACATTCTTGCTGTGTTTTTTCAGTAAGACTTTTCAGGCACTTCTTCCCTTTTATTTTCTTTGTTTTTCTCTGTTTTTAGCATGCAAGTTTGTTGGTACGTTACGTCCTGGTTTTAAAAGGATTAAAATTTTAAAAAATAATCCTTGCATCTAAAGGCCTTGTGGTTTAAAGAAAAAGAAACAAACACTTTTTTTGTACAGCTATAGTTCAGATTTGTTCAATATTTGTAGGTAAAGATTTATTGAAAATGGTGATATAGACCTCAGAGCTGTTATCTTAGTTTAAAAGATTGTATATGTACTGTACTATAGTAGGATTTTATGTATCTCATACGCTGTGATATGTGGATGGGGCCCCAGATGGAAGGTATGAAACTGGATTCTCGATTTTAGCAAAAAAAAAAAAAAAAGAAAAAAGGCACATAGTTTAAAAAGTTTCTCATGTTGTGCAATATAATCTAAAGTACAGACCATCTGCATATTTTGTAGCAAATGATGGCAAAAGCAGACTTGTGCACTGTCAACATCCAAGCCTGTTTTTTTTTTTTTTTTTTTTTTTAATGCTGAAAGTCTGTATCTTTACAATTTTAATAAATCAGCTGGAACTGATAGAAACTCGTATCGCAATTAGTGTCTGTAGCAGTAACGCTGGAGATGCCGTGTTGTCACCCCTCGCCCGCGGAGGAGCGGTAGCTGTAGGCTGTGGTGCATGAGCAGAGCTAGGGGGGGAGGAGAGTCAGGACTGCTTCTTTTCCTTTTTTTTTTTTTTTCCTCCTCTCGTCGCCTTTTTCCCATCGGCTTTGCTCCGCGGGGCCGGGGGTTTGCTTGCTGGTTGCTGCTTACCCGGGGCCGCTCCGGGCAGCGGCAGGCTGGCTCGCCCCGGGCATTTTCGGCTCTGCCGCCTCCCCCCGCCCGCCGGCGGGGAGCGAGCCCCGCTCCTGGGGGCGGCCCGGGCCCCCGCAGCCGCTTTGCAGGGCGGGGGGCTCCGCTCCGGGCGGGGGGCGCGGCGGGGCCGGCTGCCCGCTCTCGCCGCCGCCGGGAAGGCGACTCTTCCCCCCCTCTGCATGCTCCCGGTCTTCTCCCCGCTGGGGCTTTTCCTCCCCCTCTCCCGTTTGCGAGGAATAACCTGGGCCAGGCTCGAGGTGGAGATGCTGAGGGTAGCGGTGCTGCATCTCCTCCGCCCCGGACAGCGCTCGGCCCGCCAGGGTGGCCCCGGCCTCTCCGGAGAGCCGCCCGCCGCTCCGGGCAGGCAGGGCAGGGGAAGGGGGTACGAGCTTCGGCTGTAGGTAAGCAGACTTTGTCAGTGTGCTCTTTTTTTTTCTTTTTTTTTTTTTGACTTTAGCAGCCATCGGATTTCAGTTGTGTGCTCTGAAATAGCTGCTGATGGCAATAAACAGACTCACGAGGTGGAAGTTTGTTTCTCAAGAAGTTTACTTTTTTATCTGATAGGCATTGGTAAATTATTACTACTTTTTTTTTTTCTTTTTTTTTTTTCTCCGCTAATTAATGATCCAGCTGTTTACAGGGACAATTCACTGTGCTGGTATTTTGGTGGCAACCACTGCTACAGGCTTTCAGACTTGCTGAAATGAAAATCCTGCATACGCATTTGTAAGGCATAATAAAACATAACATTAAAACCTGCATGCATGTTATGTTTAATCAAAGACAACTCTTAGGCATTTAAGTGGTGAGATATCTTACTTTAGGTTAGTTAAACTGGTAGTAAAATGATTAATATAATCTGATCTCTTTCTAATAATAATGATAATAATAAAACACTCATGATTCTAAATAAAAGTTGTTTGGCCTAAATCTTTGCTATCAGAAAAGAGATATACCATATCTGGGAACTCAAATTTATGTCTTGCATTGTGATAATACTTTATGAGAAACTGTGTTTTAAAACAAACTTAATTACAATATACAAGATATCCTTGGCAATGGATAGTCCTCAATAAAACAGAGTTTCTTGAATTTTCAGTTTTTGGTCTCAAATGATTAGTGTGTTCTCCATGTAATAACTTAGAAATCAGATTGAAAACAAATGACATTTATCTCTTCTAAGGCAAAAGACCGAAAGAAAATAGTTACACTGAAGTGCTCTAGCCTAGCCATTCACTGCTATTGAAAATCCTGTTTTGGGCTAGGGTGATGGAGTAAGTTGATCAGGTTCTAAGTCTTAAAACTGAGCCAAAATTCTCTTAGTAATTCTTCAAGCTATCATGAGGGTAGGGTGACTTGTTCTTTCAGTCCCTTTCTTCTGATATGCATCCTTGTTTATTAAAATGATAATAGGCAGTGTCATTAAACATTTGTGCTTTACAGATGTTCAATGAGTTATGAATGATTATGGTCAAATACAGGCTGCATTTAGTTAGCATTGTAGTAAGGTCTGTGTCTCAGCCTACAAAAGTTTTGACTTGCATATATTTTTGGAAGCTGTTTTTTAAAATTACCATTTAAAATATAACTCAAGGATAGCTGATTTAAATGACCAATTAAAGAGCAGTCAGGCATATTTTAAAAGAGCAACAGGTCTACTTTAGTCAAAGAATATAATACCCACTCAAAAGTATATCTTTTCTTTCTTCTAAATGGGAATTATACTGTACTATATTAGAGGAATATTTTGAGTGAAGGTATATGGTGCAGGGAAATAATTTTTTTGGCGAAACACTTGAGTTACTTTTATTTTAGAGTTTTGTATTGCATATTGTTCAAGGAAAAACTAGGTAGTGTTCTGTTTAAGCCACTGCATAGTTAGGGCTGAAGTTTGATGCTGTTGAATGCCTAAGCTCCTACTGGTCTCAGTGAGAGTGAAAAATAATCTTCTACTCGTGAAAAATAGAATCTGCTAAGCTACTCTTTTTTATTTTGTCATTAATAATGTTCATACCTTCTGTGTCTCTTTCCTTTTTTGTTTTCTGTGTACATAGGAATCTTTGTTGACGTGCTAGAGCAGTCCTGTTGCAGGCCTGGTATCTCCCGTGGCCTTTTTCCCCACATTCCTTGCATTTGTCTCTGTACAATACTACTCTATGTGTAATAGGACTCAGTGATAGGAGGGAGGAAAATGAGCTTTTCTATGATGAAAGACAATTTCCTTACTAACACTGAGGATGTCAACTCAATGTAAAACCTAATCAAACGTGCTGATTCTTTTTATCTTTAAGGTGAACATTTTTTGCAAGCTTTCCCCCCCACTTTTGATGTTTTTACTCTGTTTTTTCCCCTTCCTTTTAAAATAACCACAATTAAGAAATATTTTCTTTCTTTAAGTGCAGTCTTTTACAAATGTGGTAGAAAAGCTCATTCCAAGCATCCTTTAAGTGCTTTGTGCTCTTTAGGCATTCACTGACATTCAGATGAAACTTCAAGTCTATTGAATGTCATTTGCATGCGTGCAGTATGATCCTTCACTCCTGCCTTTTTGAGGAAAGTGCAACTCTGTTGTTACACCAGGGGAAAACTGGTGTGGGGTCAAAGTCAGGGCCATATAAGTTTTAGGTGTTCGATAATCAAAACAGTTCATGAATTCTGTTTTACATCTTCACAATTGTTGCTTAGTAAGGCCTTAAACCTGCTCTGGTTAAAAAAGAAAAAAAAAGAAAAAAAAAAAGAAAAAAAAATTCTCATTGAGCTAAATGGGAGTTTTTGCCTCAAGGGCTGCTGGCAGGATAGGTGTCTTATCTCCTCCTAACCTTCATTTGTAAGAATGGCCAGGAAAAAATAAACAACAAATACTTAATACAATGAGTTGCCTTACATTTCCCCTACAATACAGTTGTATTTCTTTGATTAATTTCCTTTCCCCTCACTCACATCCAAGGCTGTGATTGTTTTTTTTTTAATTTTTTTGCACACTACCTATACCAATTAACTGCCTAATTAGTTTTATCTTCTCTACATGGATGCAGTGAATTTGTAAGAGAATTTCACATGCAAGTAGTTTTTTAGTGAGTTTAAAGTAAATAGAGTTTTAAAGACCTATTTTTATATTCAATATAAAGCACAAATGTGCAGAAAATGTAGAATGACTTACAAAAAGGGAAGCAAAAGTTCGTAATATTTCATGTATAAAAGTAATACCTTCTTTGGGGTGAGATTCTCTTAGAAAACCCAATACTTATGCCAGTGCAAAGATAGGAATATTTTAAAAACTCTTAGAAAAAATTGTGATTGACAGCAATTTAAAAGGAATGACTTCTGTAGATACAAGGAAACCCCTAAAGCAATATGGATAAGAAGGGGTGAATGGTTTTCAATGATGAACAACAACCTGGAAGTGTGAGAATGGAGGTTTCAATCCTTATTAATTAATCAA